TACGACAGGCGTGGGGCGCCAGGCGCTGGGCCGCGGATTGCCGGCCGGATCGCAGCGCGGGGCGACCGCGGCCCTCCTGTCCCTCCGGTCGTCGCGCCGCGCGGGCCTTGGGCGGCGCCCGTCTGTGGCCAAGGCGTAGGGGCGCTCCGAGGCTTGCCCTGCCCCTCGCAGTGACCTTGACCAAGTCCCCTGCCTCCCAGCCCAGGTGGTGCTGACCGCTCCGCTCCGCGCGGAGGGCGATGCCACTTCACGTGAAGTGGCCGTTCCCCCCCGTCCCGCCGCTCTCCTGGACTCTGGCCAGCAGCGTCGTCATGGGCCTGGTGGGCACCTACAGCTGCTTCTGGACGAGTGAGTGGGCCGCCGGAGGGCGCTCTGCCGAGTCGGGGTGGGGAGCGGCAGCGCTGGCGGGCGAGCCTTGGCCCACCGCGCCCCTCTCCACAGAGTACATGAACCACCTCACCGTCCACAACAAGGAAGTGCTGTACGAGCTCATCGAGAACCGGGGCCCCACCACCCCCCTCATCACCGTCTCCAATCACCAGTCCTGCATGGACGACCCTCATCTCTGGGGTACCAGGGCCGGGGGAGGGGGCGGGGCACCAGAGGAGGGTGCAGACTGGGCTGCTACCTCTGGGTGCCCTTCTCCTTGGTGAGCGGTGGACTGGTGGCCCTTCAGGACCCCCTGGAAGCGTGAACTGGATAGGGCCTGGGGGTTTGTAGGGGACGAGTAAGCATAGCCCTAGCCACAGCGGGATCAAAATAGTTTTGCCCTGACAATGATGTCAGGCCTGTGGACCTTGTGTTCTCAGAACTGGTGACCTGTCAACAGTAGCCCCTGCTAGGTTTTGCACACAGTCTGTCCCTATGGGAAACTGCTGCCCCACTGACAAGTGCCTGCTCTGCAGACTACGCAGGACTGGAGGGCGGGAGTGGGGAGGGAGGTGGGAAGTGTGGCCTGGCCAACTGATGCCTCTCAAAGCCCTCCAGCCTAAGGTGGGCAGGGATGGTGGGGCATTAGAGCTGGTGGGGAAAGCAGGGCAGCAATTAGTAAGAAATGGGGGTTGAGGGCAAAAGAGGAGCTACATGGAGTCAGGGATCCCACCCAAGTGGCTAAAGCTGAGAGCCAGGGGAGGTGGTAGCTCCTCTGCCCTGGCTCCCAGTCACTGAAGCAGTGTGATGGGAAAGCGTGCTCCTCTCCTCCCCCAGGGATCCTGAAGCTAAGGCACATCTGGAACCTGAAGTTGATGCGTTGGTGAGGGGAATGGGCCCCACCCGTCTGCCCAGATTTGCCTTCCTCCTGCTCTGCCCCTGAGGCAGCTGCCAGCAGTCCAGGCAGGGCATTGGCTGGGGTTCTGCAGGCCCTCCGGTGCCTCTTTTCCAGTGCCAGGCATCATGAGGGGGGAGTGAGGGGCCAGGGCTGGGGAAACCGAGATGATGGCCGGCCCCTCTCTCTGCTACAGGACCCCTGCAGCTGCAGACATCTGCTTCACCAAGGAGCTGCACTCTCATTTCTTCAGTTTGGGCAAGTGTGTGCCGGTGTGCCGAGGTGGGCCCCTCCCCTGGGAGGGCGCGTCCCCAGACCTCCATGGGAGCTACTGGCACTCCACCAAGTAGAAAGTCCACAGGGGGCCACCAGCCTGCGAGTGTGAGGAGCAGGGGGTTGCTGGAGCAGTAGGAGCAGAAGAAGTTTGCTGGAAGAGGGTGACTCCTGGGAGAGCCCTGGGGTCTCTGCAGCTGTCCTTGGACTGCTTGCCCACAGAGCTCTGGCACTGGAGTCCCAGCCCTTTCTCTTAGGGAGGTGGCAGACAGAACAAACAAGAACTTTGCTTCTGACGGGATGTAGGGTGTGAGTTCTGGTATTGAGGAATCCTGAGATGAAGGAGCGATTCAAACTCCCGTCGTTCAAACAAGAAAAAGGAGGCTCCAAGGGGTGAAGTCACTGGTTCAAGTCACAGGCAGGAGCTTGCAGTTGGGGACGTAGACATTTTTACAGGCAGAGGATGGAGAGAGAAAGGCGTTATAGGCAAGCGCAAGCATGTGCCTGGTCCTGAAGAGGTAAGGGGAAGCAAAAATGCAGGTGAAGGGTCTGGGCTGTCTAGGAGTGTAGCCTTACTGACTCAGAGAGCCAGTACCCTGGCCACAGCGGGACCAGCATTGTGCAGCAGGATGGGCTGGAGGCCAGGCAAGAGCAATTGTTGGAATTCTGGGGGCCTCCATGGTGAGCAGGAGGAAGGGACAGCCTTGGGATGTGCTTCAGAAGTAGAAAGACTTGTTGAGGGATTGATTGTGTTGATGGAAGAATATAAGGAAATCAAGGACACCACTAGGTTTTTGGCTGACCTGCTGGAAGGACAGTGGGTACCTTGGCTAAGGTTGGGAATACTGAAGGGAGAAGTGTTGTGGGGCTGGATGGAGCAGAGGGGCTGGCGGCTGGCAGTAGAGAGGCCCTGGGAAAACTGAAAGCACAATATGTGCTGGTGACCCCAGGGAGCTGTTTCCTTGAGTGGCCCATGTCCAGCGCGCCTGTGTTCACGCTGTGGTAATAGGACTGACTACTGCGAGCACAGATGCAGCTTTGCTTGGGCCCCGTGGCGAGTCCCAGTCTCCACACATTCAATTGAATGTTCTACATTATTCCTCAAAGGTCCTCCCTAAAAGAGCATTTTGGTTTTCAGTGAGTGGCTTATCTGCATTGTCTTGGAGGAGCCAGTGGGACAGGAGGGAGGGTAGGGACCAGAGAGGAGGCATTACAGGACCTGACCTAGACCAGGGCCTCGCCAGAAGAGAGCCTGGGGCCCAGGCCTGGCTGGTTTCATGTCAGGCAGGATCTGTGTAAGGTGCGATTGCCTCAGTGCTGATGATGGAAGGACTTGGTGCATCCCAGGGAGAACAGCTGAGTGGATGTGGTCTGTGAGCCGCAAGGTGACATGTTTAGGCGGCTGGAGGGGTGAGGCCCCAGCTGGAGGAGCAGAGTTAGAGATGGAAGGGGAAGGGGCTGCATTCAGGAGGTGAAAGTTGCTGTGGTTCCTGTGTGTAGCGAATCCAGAGAGTAGTCTTGAGCGAAGGGTGTCGAGACCCAAGGGGCTGAGGCAAGCATTGGGAAAGTCACTGGATGTCGAGGGGCCTGGGGTTATGAGGATATGGTGAGCTGGGCTTCCTTCCTAGACTGGGGTCAAGACATGTGAGTAAGTGTAGTCAAGGAAGTCATTGTAGACAGCAGAACCCCCAGGGAGAAGGTTTGGGGTGGGCTGTGGACAGACTGGCCACCTCTGTGGGAGAATGGGTACTGACCAGAAGGGCCCTTCCCCGCAGGAGATGGTGTCTATCAGAGGGGGATGGACTTCATCTTGGAGAAGCTCAACCACGGGGACTGGGTGCACATCTTTCCTGAAGGTCAGTTGGGAGGGACGGGGCTGTGAGCCTGTGCAGGGTCCAAGGGCTGCAGCCTCTTCTCTGCTTCCTGTCCTGACAGGGAAGGTCAACATGAGCTCTGAGTTCCTGCGCTTCAAGTGGGGTGAGCGTTGCCCTGTAGAGCCTTTTTTGCAGCCTGTCTCGGGGAAGGATGGGTTGGACTATGGCTGGGTGTGTTGCGGCGGCAAGGGCTGGCCCGGGAGCTGGTTCCACTGGTGGAGGCGAAGATGGCTGGGGAGCTCTGCTCAGCTTCCACCATGTTCTTCTGTGGGCAGGAATTGGGCGCCTGATTGCTGAATGTCGTCTCAATCCTATCATTCTGCCACTGTGGCATGTCGGTACGCCTCCCCCTCAGGCCTGGAGGCCATGGGGTGCCATGTGGATGGGGGAGGTGCATGCCAGGAGGCAGAGTGGGCTCTCTGCCACGTGCCTTTCCCTGTCTCTTGCACCCTAGGGATGAATGACGTCCTTCCCAACAGCCGACCCTACTTCCCCCGCTTTGGCCAGGTGAGTACAGCTGCTGGTCTATTTGTCCTTCTATCTGTCTGCCACCTTCCCTGATGTCTTGCTGCTGAGGGATGGGCTAAGCCTAAAGCTGCAGCAGTAGGGGACAGAACTTAGTGGAGAGGAGATTTCCTGGCCCCAGGAGCTGTGAGGACCTCCTCCCTGGAAGTTGGGAAGACTCAGGCAGGACAGCTACACCCTCGGCCTCACAACTGGGTTGGAACACCGAACTTTCCTGACCGGAGCACGTGGCTGTTCCCACAGAAGATCACCGTACTCATCGGAAAGCCCTTCAGTGCCCTTCCTGTTCTTGAGCGCCTCCGAGCAGAGAATAAGTCTGCCGTAAGTGCCTTGTCTCCCCCAGGCCATCCCCAGATGGAGGCTGTGACCATGTGATGCTGGGGTACAGGGCTCTTCTCCCCTCCTTGCCCACTTAGCCACCCAGTCTTCTCCCTCCAGGTAGAGATGCGCAAGGTCCTGACCGATTTCATTCAAGATGAGTTCCAGCGTCTGAAGACCCAGGCTGAGCAGCTCCACAGCCACCTGCAGCCACTGAGATAGGCCAAGGAGCCGACGCTGTCCTGGAGGGCCCAGGCCCACTCAGGGGAAGAGGCAGCATCCCGACCTAGAGCCTCCATGTGGTCTCTGGGTGGTGGCCTGGACAGAGCCTCAGCGTGGATGACTTCAGGCCTTTGTGGCGCCTCTGTTCTCGCGAACTTGGCCAGCCCTGCTCTCTGCTCTTCACTTGTGGAGGGGCTTCTGTTCTCCACCTTCTTTGTGAAGAGGAAGAAAGGAATTGGGGCAGCAGCAAGGAATAGAGCAAGCAGGTGAGCCAGTGGCCAGAATGGACCAGTAATTGGGAGTCTAGGAAGCTCCCTGGCTGGATCCCACCTGCTTGCCTACCTGCCTGCCCATTTCCCTGCTAATCTGTGAGCAGCCTGCTACCTCCTCAGGGATGGACCCCAAACCAAGTTTTTTTTTCTTTCTACCCCCAAACCTCACGTGGAGCCTCAGGCAGTGAGGGCCATGTCCACCGCCATCCTTTAGTGTCCTTTGTCGTACTTGGGCATCGGGAGGGTTTCATGCAGTTTAGGGCAATAAAGTGTGTTGTGCCATTTTACCTCTGCGCTCTCTGAGGTTGGCTTCTGTGGGTGTGGTAGACAGCGTGCTTGGTGGCTGATGAGTGGGTTCTGTGGTCTGCACACAATGCTGCTTGATGTCCCCACTTTGCAGATGAGGCACAGCGAGACTTTGCTAGCCCAGGAGCTTGGCCTGACTCTGGAGAGCCCTGGATTCTGAAAAACTGTTTGACACTAAACCAGACAGGCTCGGGGGCGGGGGATGTCACTGGAGGGGAGGAAGGATGGGCTCCAGGTCGGCTGGGGTCCAGAGCCTGGGATAGTGGGAAGTGAGCCCATGAGGAGCTTGGAGCAAAAGTGATCCTGTGCAAAACAGTGGGGGAGGTGAGTGTCCTCAGGCAGGTCCCCGTTTCCCCCAGCTGGGCCTGGCCGTCCATGAGAAACCAGCCTTGTATGGGAAGCAGGGCCAGCAGCTGGTTGAAACTCCTGGGGACCTTCTGCCAGCTCATTGCTGTCGAGTTGGAACCGACTCTTTGGTGCCCCTCCATTGTCTTCCTGCCGAGGAGGTGCGGGTGGATTGAGCCCCTGCCTTTGGGTTGGCAGTGTGACCTCTGACCCCAAGGCCACTGGAGAACTTGCCAGCCATGCTAAGAGAAGCAGTACACAAGCAGTGGTCAGCACTGCGGCCGTGGGAGTCTACTTGAAGGTAAAAACGGTGTTAAAAATGACCTGGAGGGGGAAAAAAGTAATTTGGGGAAATAAAATAAACTTATAACTAAACATAGATAGAAACAGACTGTTGGCCAGTTTGTACTCGGAACTAAAATGTAATAGCCCTTCAAATATGTATATCTACCTGCAAAAAAATTATATTTCATTTTATGCCCTTATAATATGCAATGTTCTGTTTTTTCATGCTCTGTATTTTTACCATATGCTTGTGCTCATAAATATATGAATGTGATTTGCAGATTTTTAAATTCTTCAAAAATGAAGTCTCTCCAATGCAATGTTTTGCTTCTCAGAGTATGTTAGCAATTTCTCCATGGCCGTGAATGTGACCTAGGACAAGGTCGAATGGGAGGCAGCAGCTTTTGCGGGTGGCCAGTCCTGGGTTTCATTTTAACTCCTGTGTTCTGTCATACAGATGGACCACAGCTGATGCACTTTGGGAAGACCCTGGTACATTTGCTTCTCTGTTTTGTTGTTACTAACAGCACTACAAAGAATACTCTTGCACCTGTTTCTCTAGGCTTACATGGTGGCATCAGGATCTTCAGAAATGGAGTCGCTGGTCCTAGAGAAGGATTGTCTTCAGTTTCTCCCATCCAAGTACTAACCAGGCCCAACCCTGCTTAGCTTCCAAGATTAGACGAGATCAGGCGTGTTCGGGGTGGTATCGCCGCAGACTTCAGTTTCTCTCTGTAGCACCCGGCTGTTCTCACACTGGCACTCTCACCAGCATCCTCACCCTTAGACAAACTCGAGGACAAACCCGGAAACAAATGAAAAATGCAATTGTTGAAATTTAAAGACTAGAAACACTTCAGTGGGTCTGTTGTTTGGGAGGTGGAAGGGAGGGCTGTGACCTTTCCAAGGATGTAACACAATGAGACTGGGAGAAAGAAAGTATCAGAGAGACTTAAAAGAGTGATGGAGGAGAAATAAATCAGAGAGGGGAAAGAGTAGTGTAGAAGATGAGAGGCTGTAACATCTTGAGGACTGGTAACAGGGCTGATGCCGCAGTACCTGACAGCACCCATGCCTGGGAGGCAATGATGGGCCAGGAGGTGTGGGGCCAGCTCCCCGCCAGTGTGCGTCACCAACAGCCACCAGCTAGAGATGAGGCAGTGGAGACTTTCCTGCTGCTGTGATGAACAGGTTTCAGAGGCTTTTTCAAATGAAGATGAACTTGGAAGAAAGAGCTGGCGGTCCTGAGAAAATCAGTGAAAACCCATAGCCCACAAAGGTGTAGCCCACTGTGGGTGTGGTACAGGGTTGGTTAGACAGCGTTGCCATTTGTGCGTGGAGTTATTTGACTTGATGGCACCTAATAACACCCAGATAAGTGTTACGCACCTAATAAAACATAAAACCAGTCAGGGGCTAGATAGGACACAGGCAGGCAGGCAGGGCTCCGGGTCACACCTGCTTGCTGGCTGGCTGTTACAGTGTTGGAAAAGAGTACTCTGTGTCCCATTGACTGCCGAGAGAACAAATATCTTTAGAAAAAGTGGAGCCACAATGCTCCCTGAAGGCAAGGAGAGTGAAGCTTGGTTTCATATTCTTTGGGCATGTTGTTAGGAGGGGTCAGTCCTTGGAAAAGGACATCATGCTTGGAATGGTGGAGGGGAAGACCCTAAACCAGGTGGACTGACACAGTGACTGCAGCAATGGGCTCGAGTGTGTCAGTGATCGTGAGGGTGGCACTGGATAGGACAGGGTGCAGGTCTGTTCATAGGATCACCATGAGCTGTTTAGTCAGCCAGCACCTGACAATGCAAAGTTCCCCAATAAACCTAGGGTTCGTAATTCTAGTCCATTGGCCTGTGTCTCTTTTTTTACCAGTGCCTGCTAACTGCACAAGCTGTTTTCATTACTATAACTGTGTTGTGGGCTGTGAGGTGAGCGGGAGGCATCCTACATGGGTCCCTTTTATTTCCTTGTCTTACCTTATTGCTCTGGCTAACTCCTCTAGTACACTTTTAAATAGGAGCGGTGGCAGAGGGTATCCTTGGTGAGTTCCGAGTCACAAGGCGAATGCCTTCAATCTCCTCCTGTTGAGAGTTTTGTGTACATGTTTCTTTTTTTCTAGGGAATAACATGCACACAGTTCCCCACTACCACAAAGTATGCACAATTTCCCACATTTTGGGAAATTGCAGGGGTCAGCACATCCAGAGTGCCTTGTCCTGGGAAAGCCATCTTCTTGATCATTGTATTTTATATATATATAAACTGACCCATAGGTGACCCTCCTGTGGGTTTTCAGAGGCAGTTAATCACATGGGAGGAGATTGCTCATTGCCCATCCTCCCACAGAGCAGCTGGTGGATTCAAACCACGTGCCTTCAGGATTGCAGTGCAACTTCTTGCCTCTAGGCCACCAGAGCTTATAAAGACATTATTGTCAATGTCAAATGGATCTTGGCAGAAAACAGAGTACCAGAAAAATGTTTATGTTTCATTGGCTATGCAAAGGCATTTGACTGTGTGGATCGCAAGTTATGGCTAACCTTGAGGAAAATGGGAATCACAGAACACTTGATTGTGCTCATATGAGGAAAATGGGAATCACAGAACACTTGATTGTGCTCATATGAAACTTAGACCAGGAAGCAGTTCTCAGAACAGAGCAAGGAAACACTACATGGTTCAAAATATAGAAAGGAGTATGTCAGGGATGCATCCTGTCTCCATACTTTTCCAATCTCTATGAAAAACGTCATTTGGAAGGCTCAGCTTTATGAGGAGAAATGTGGATCAGGATTGGAGAAAGACTTATCCATCAACAACCTACGTTATGCAGATGACACAACCTTACTGAGACTGAAGACCACTTGAGGCACTTGCTGCAGAAGGTCAAGGACTATAGTTAATATGGATTGAAGTTCACCATCAAGAAGACAAAGATTCTCACCACGGGGCCAACTGGCAGCACCATGATAGATGGAGAAGAGATTGAGGTTGTTAACAAATACAGCTTGCTGGGCTCCACAATAAACATTCTTAACACCAGCAGTCAGGTAAACAAATTTTAAAAAATGAATTGCATCTGGACCTTTCCAGAAGCAACAATGTCAGTCTAGAGACCAAGGTCTGCCTTATCCTGGCCATGGTTTTTTTTTTAAATTACTTGCTATACATCAGAGAGCTGGGCAATGACTAAGGATGACAGAAGAATTGATGCCCTAGAGTTGTGATGCTGGAGAAGAGTCTTGAACATACCATGGCCCACCAAGAAAATAGATCTGTCTTGGAGAGGGTGAAACCAAGTTTCTCCTTGGAGGCTAGGGTTATGAAACTCCATCTCACATACTTTGGGCATGTGGCCAGGGGAGACTGGTACTTGGAGAAGGGCATCATGCTTGGGAGGGTGGAGGAACAGCGCAGCAGAGGAAGACCCTGGAAGAGATGGATTGATACAATGACTGGGGCAATGGGGGTGGGTATATCAGTGAGACTGGCTCAGGACAGGGCAGGCTTCAGAGCTGTTGTACATAGAGTCACTATGAGTTCCAGGCAACTCGATGGCACATAACAATAATTCTACACACACATACACACACACACACGTTTATGTGTGTGTGTGTGTGTATAATTATGTTGAGGAATTTACCTTCTATTCCTATTTTGTTGAGTGTTTTTATTAGGAAAGAATGTTGGATTTTAAAAAAACAACTTGACCCTTGCTGACAACATGCCCAAAGAGTGTGAGGAAAAAAAAAACAAACCCAACCAAAAAGCCCATCATCCCTGGTTGCACTTCCTCCGAGACGGATTTGTTGTTCTTTTGGCAGTCCATGGGCTTTTCAATTGTATTCTCCAACACCACGGTTCTTCTTTTGTCATCCTTGTTCATTGTTCAGCATTCACACATAGGAAATAATTGAAAAGACTACAGCTTGGATCAAGCACACCTTGGTCTTTAAATGGACTCTTTAGCACTTTAAAGAGATTTTCAATAGTATATTTTCCCAGTGTAATAAATCTTTTGAAATCTCAACTGCTGCTACCATGGGTGCTTATTGTGGAACCAAGTAAAATAAAATTGTTGGCAACTCCAGTCTTTCTCCCTCTATCCTGATGTTGCCTATGGGTCCAGTGGCGAGGATTTTGTTTCTTGATGTTGAGATGTAATCCATATTGAAGGCTGTAGTCTTTGATCTTCTGAAATAAGTGCTGCAAGTCGTCTTCACTTTCTGCAAGCAAGGCTGTGTCATCTGCATCGTACAAGTCATTGATGAGTCTTCCTCTAATCCAGATGCCACATTCTTCATAAAGTCCAGTTTCTTGAATGATTTGCTCAGCATAAATTTGAATAGATATTAGGAAAGGACACAGCTTTGATGCACATGTTTTCTGGTTAAATTTTGTTTTTAATCCAAAATGGTGTTTATTGAGATAGTTTCCTATTCCTCTTGCTTCAGCGTGTTTTCTGAATGCTGCTTCCTTCTGCAGGAGCATCCTTCTGTAAGCCTTACTTTTCCTCCTGTCAGCTGACAGAGAACACACCAAATTACTGTTGTGCATGGCTGAAGACTGTGCATTTTACAGTCTCCTGGGCATTTCACATCTATGAAACAGGAATTAGGGCTCTGCACCAGGTGCTTCTTGTGTTTCCTCTTCTCTTCTGGAGAGGGATGAAGGTGATCCTTTGTGAGATGCATGTTGACATGCAAAGGTCACCACCCAGAAAGGCTGTTTCTGATTTTAAATCATGCAGTGTTTTCTTGTTCTGTTCAAACCGTTTCTCATCCTATGTACAAGTTTCGCATGAACACAATTATGTGTTCTAGGATTCCCATTCTTCTCAGTGTTAGCCATAATTTGTTGTGATCCACACAGTCAAAATGGCTTTGTCTACTCAATAAAACACAAGGTGATATCTTTCTGGTCTTCTCTGCTTTCAGCTATCTGACATCCACAATGATCTCCCTCCCGTCACAGCCTCTTCTGAGTCCAGCTTGCATTTCTGGCTGTTTCCTGCTGACGTACTCTTTCAGTTGTTGTTTTTGTTTTCCAAGATTTTACTTGCGTGTGATATTAATGTGATGATTTCTATATTCTGTTAGATGACCTTTTTTGGAGGGAGGGGAGGGGTAGGGAATAGGAGCCAATATGGATCTGTTTCAGTTAGTTGGCCAGGTAACCGTTATCTAAATTTCTTGGCATAGACTGGGGAGCACATCCAGGTCTGTACATGTTTGGTTTTGAAATACCTCGATTGGCATCCCATCAATTCCTGAGGCCTTATTTTTTGCCAGTGCCTTCAAGAGCAGCTTGAATTTTTTTCCTTCATTAACCTTGGTTCTTGAACATATGTTACTAATTCCTGAAATGTTTCACTGTGTTCCAGTTCTTTTTGACACTGTAACTCTGTATATTCCTTCCATCTTTTTTTTTAATGCTTCTGACAGAATCCTTCAGTATTGCAACTTTAGCCTTGAATTTGTTGTTTTTATTGTTCAAAATATAAACAACAAAATATATATCAATTCAGCAGTTTCTACATTGTGCACTTTGACCTCCCTCATTGGGTAAAATTCTTATCTAATCTTTTGAGCTACTGTTGTCACTTGTGTTTGTTTTTTAATTTTTTAAATTTTGTTTTATTTTATTATTTTTGTGTGTGTGTGCCATCAAATCAGATCTAACTGGTACAGGAGGAGGAAATTGCCCTTCCTTCTCCAGCAGAGCATCTGGTGGATTCGAACCGCATACTCTAGGATTGCAGTGCAGCTTCTTGCCACTAGGCCACTAGAGCTCCTGGGTTTGTTTGTGTTTTTTTTTTAATTTTAGTGTGTGTGTGTGTGTGTGTGTGTGTGTGTGTGTGTGTGTGTATGTGTACCGTCAAATCATATCTGACTGGTACAGGAGGAGATTGTCCCTCCTTCCCAGGCAGAGCATCTGGTGGATTCGAACTGTGCGCCTCTGGGATTGCAATGCAGCTTCTTGCCACTAGGCCACCAGCTGTTTTTTTCTTTTTTAAGTTTCCCTTTTTTTCTTTTCTTTTCTTTTGAGAGCAAGTTTCAGAAGCTCTTCTGACATCTATTTTGCCCTTTCTTTCTTTCCTATTACCTTTTGTTTTCTTCACGGATAACGTCCTTGATGTTACCTCTCAACATTTCTGATTTGGTTATTAGTGTTCAATGTTGTTGTTATTGTTATGTGCCATCGAGTCATTTGCGGCTCATAGCGACCCTATGCACAACAGCCCTAAACCCTGCTCTATCCTGCACCAACCGCACTGCCTCTGACACATCCATCCCGATTACCCCAGTCACGAAATCAATCCATCTCATAGAGGGTCTTCCCCTCCTGCGCTGTCCCTCCACCCTCCCAAGCATGATGTCCCTCTCCAAGGACCCGTCC